GGGGGGCGGACGGTGGCGGAGCCAGTCACTTGGGTTGCGAACTGCAGTTTCCCTGGAGGTGTTCAGACTTCGAACTGCTTTTGTATGAAAATGGCCTACGTTTCTAAAGACCTGCAGAAGGGCCTATGAGTGTTTGTTATCTTCTGTGCCTCTTACTCAGCTCAGAAAAGGGGCTTTCTACCGACAGGAAAAAAGTCACGTCAGTTCATTGGCCAGGGTGGCTGGAGGGGAGCCGTGGTGGCTGGAGGGGAGCCGTGGTGGCCTGAGCCCCTCCTGCCCCTCTGCTGCTCCCTGACGTCTTCCTCTGGGCCTCACAGGACTCTGATTCTCCGAGGCATTCCACGGCTTCCAACAGTTCCAACCTGAGCAGCCCTCCCAGCCCGGTGTCGCCCCGGAAGACCAAGAGCCTCTCCCTGGAGAGCACCGACCGCGGGAGCTGGGACCCATGAGTGGCCTCTGCTCTCAGACCAGATGCCGGAGCAGCGGCCGCTCTGGGCTCCCTCCCCTCACTCACCCTGTGCTCTCACTGTCATCTCCCACCACCCCTGCCTGGAAGCGCCAGGGCCGCAGCAGTAGCAGGCGGGGACTCAGGAATTCTGCCTCTAGGACTCACATCCACGCGCCCCTCGACTGAACAGCAACAGCCGTAAAGGCAGACTTTCATTGAGCAGCTCAGATTAATACCGATTTCATTTCATACACTTAGTGTTGCTTTCCAGAATATTTCACCCCTCCCCTGAAAGGTAGCTTAAGTAGGCAGATTACACAAATGTAAGCGATAAGAATAAGATTAGACAGCCATTGTTTTCACAGTAGAGCCTCGTTGTAGCCCTGAGAGAGCATGTGGGGCTCGCCAGTGGGCCCCGGGCACACCATGCCCCTTCAGCACCACAGTGAATGTCGACCTGATCGTTGCCAGTAAATCCCTGTTCACTAAAACGATGCATATTTTACTACAAAATAAGAGTTTAACTAAATACACAAATGTAGAGGTTAAATACTGACTGTATATAATAAAAAGAAGCATCTTGTATTCAACAAAAGATGGATGCATATATGAGACAGAGATCATTTAATTTAAAGAAATGTATTTTTTCTTGTCTGTTTTCCACCTAAGTAATCAAAGGGTAGAAAGGCCTCCAGCTGACGTTTACAGAAGGAGAGCGAGAGGAGTGAGAATTCCCCTTAGTGCCGTTCCGCAGTCACCTGGGAGCTTTAGGGAATGTTCCAAGGCTTTGGTTTCATCGGTTTGGAGTGTGACCTGGAAACCAGACTTTTAACATTTGAAGCCTCTTCAGCAGCATCATTAAAAGGCATATTTACTTCTATCCAAGACATTTCTTTTTCTAGCAGTAGCATTTGAACCACACTTCTCATTTATTACTATATTTTGGTATCTTCTGCTGATGAATGTAGAAATGCAGTTTTGTCACCTTCTGGATCCCTTCCACCTGAAAGGACACAAGGAATGTCGTAGTTTCTGAAGGTCCATAAAAGGGTTCATAAAAGTGCTTTTTCTCCTTGGCGAATCCCCTTACTCCCTGAGTGGCAGCGAGGCGTCTGGCCCCCAGCTGAGCCAGCTTCTCAGGGAGGGGTCTGTTTTGAGGGGGGTGTGAGCTTCCTCAGATAAGCCTGGGAAAGGGGGTTTAGTAGCCTTAACCAAATCCTCTTTCCCGCACCTAGTGGGAAATGGACGTGCTCAGCCCGGGCGCGGGCAGGAAGTCAGCCCAGCGTGGCCATCTTGACTGCTTAAGCTTTTCCTCCCTCAGTTGCTGTATTGTGTTGTTAGTCACATTTCCATTTGGATTCCCGCTGTTTTAATTACCACAAGGAAATGAGATGCAGGGCCAGGACCTTATGTCTCCAGAGTCATTTCACCGGTTAAGCACATGAGTAGAGAAAGAGATAGAAATAAAAATATTTCATGGAAGTAAAGAGAATCTGCCTCTCTTTTACTTTTTAATCTAAATTTCTCTGAGAAATAGAAACAGATTTTCTGCTCTCTTCTTTAAAATTCAGCTAAAATGGAAGAATTTTCCTTCAGTTGCTTGTCTGAATTGCAGTGTTTGAGCACTGTCATTTCACCCCTGGCCCCGATTTCACATCTTTCTCCTCGGCAGCAGCTGTGTCAGCCTTCCCACCACAAGCCACAGGGAGCTGTACTGTTTCCACTGATGCCACTCTCTGGAACAGGTTACTGAGGTTCAGTGAGGGAAGAAAGGATCCTGTTTGGGGATTATATTATAAAATGTTACAATAGAGAATTTTCAAATAATAACAGTTTTGACATTTGAACTTGGTGCTTGCTCAGATTTGATTGTGTTTTACTTTGGATGGGCATAAATTACTGCACAATTCTAACCTTCTAAATCCATTGCTTTTGGAAAAGTGACATGTAAAAATACTTTTGTGCATTCAGATAGCAAGAGTCAAGACCTTGAGTCTGGCTATGGCCAGGACTCCGGTAGCTCCGTAAGCTTGACACTTCTCGGGAGAGGAGGGAGCCGGCCAGCCAGGTGCCGAGCGCACGTGGCCCGCTCCCCTCCCAACCCTCCCTCCCCCTGCTTTCCTTTCTCCTCGCGTCTTCCTGCCTCCCTTTTCTCCCCTGAGGAGGCAGACCAGGCTGAGATTCACAGGACTCCACACTAAGCCATTAGTTTATGGCTTTGACAACCACCAAGTTTCTGCTGCCTGTAGGTGCTTATTTTTTAAAAGATGCTTTTAGTATCAAAAGATAACCATACCTGAAGTCTGGGCTCCACTATGATGAGTCATACCCTGCAGCCCCCCAACAGGGCAGATAAGAGACGGGCTTGTCTTGGCCGCTGGGCTCACTGGGAGGTGTGATACTAACCCAGTGGATTATACTCCAGTAATCTGAAATGGTCTTACCAGTAGTGAGAGAGCAGTCCCAGATATGATTAGCTTCCAATAGTAGAACTTTGGGAGAGAAACACTGCCAAGGGTAGTAGTTTGGGAGGTATTTTCCCAAGATAATGATCATTCTACTGGGCTTGTCCCCATTCTTAAATATGAAGCAGTTACCTTCAGAAGCTTCTTGAGAATGATTTGGAAAGATGGGGAATTGGGTTCTAGAGAAACAGAAAACGTAATGATCATCGAAAGGGATAATTGAAAGATCATGGAACAGATGTGATGTTGCTGTCTGAAGTTATCCTTTGTTTTCGTGCAGGACATTCAAAGAATGTATATGGCAGCAGGAACTCATTTCTCTTCTCGGTAGAAAGTAAAAATAAGTGAAGAGGCATTTCTGGCATAGTCTAGATGTGTTGGTATTTGGTGCTATCTTTGTTCAGCCAATTTGTTGTCTACTCTTGAATTCTGACTACTTTAATCTGCTTGTGCTTTGGGTGTATAAAATTACATATATGCATATATATATATATATATATATATATATATTTCTTTTTGCCAAAAACAAAAGCCTTCCTCCTTGTCAAATGATTGCTGAAGCAAATTTCACTTCTTTAGTTATGTGTGTAACACACACGCACGCACACACCCATCCCTACACTTAGTGATTTATCTTCTTCCCAGGGAGCACAGTTTTAAGGCTGTGAAATACAGTTTAAAAGGGCCCATCTACTGAGTTTTCCAAGCAATTCTTGTACCCAGGTTTCAGGGAAGAATCTGAAATTCTTGTTACGTTTACAGCAACAATCTGCCATGCCCCAGCTGCCTCTCAGCCCCTCTCTGTCTGCCTTCCATATGGTTAGAATCCTGTCATTCTGCTACTCAGTGGCCGCAGCTACTTCTGTGAAAGACCAGTTGCATTTATATGGACTCTCAGGTATCATTAAAGAAAAGCCAGAGTAGGGGGTGGGTGGACATCCCTAACCCCCAGGTACAGCAGGGCCGTTTGCTGGCCTTTGGCCATGAACACTGTAGTCTCCCAGCTGCACAGAGCAGAGCTTTGTAAAGCTCAGCATCGTCTCTGGACAGAGGGACATTCTCGGCAGCGGCCAGACTTCGCCGCTGCCCCGGTCCGCTGGGCAAAACAGGGAAGTAACTGGGCGCCTTGCTCCCCACCTCTAGGTGGCCCAGTCCCTGCATTCGTTAGATAAGCCACATGGCATTTCGTTGGGCCCATGTTAAAACCTCTTTGCTTGTGATGACTTCATCATGCAAGCCCAGTGCTCTCTGCAGAGTCCTGTGCCATTAGAGGGCGTCGCTTCAGCTGGTGTTTTGTTTCAGCGCTGGCCGGTAGGCCGGCACTCCTCTCCCTTCCCAGGGACAACCGTTACACACAGAAACCATTGCATTTATGGGGGGAAATTGATGAAAACAAGTCAACCTCGAAATTTCATGAAAACAGAATGACCTGCCTTTTTATTTGATAGTGTAATACCATTTGTTCTATAAATTTTTTAGGGTTTTTTTTTCCCATTGTAATATTATTGTACAGTTTTGCATGGCCTGGGTGTAATCATTTTTTTGTTTAGAATATAATGCTGACAAATAAGTGTGTATGGAAGGGGAAAAGATACTGCTTTGGCCTCTTATCATTCATTTCATTTTGTTTGGTTTTATCCCCTCATTGTCTTAGGGAACTTTATGAGATTCTCTGCTACCAAACAATGGTGTGGATTCTTTTGCACAGAAATATTTAAGGTGGGACAGTCAAAATGTAACAGAAGACGCCTCGCCGATATTTTACGTTGCTATCACTTAATATTAACCAGACTCTGATGTATTGCAATAAAACAGGGAACTGTTCGAATTGAGTATTTTGTCTTCTTTTCCCTGATTAAAAAGTCTGAGGAATGGAGAAAAGGTGACTGACTCTTTTTGTCTCGTTTGACCCCAATTTCTGCCGGTCCCTCTCCTCATCCAGCTTCCTCGTTACACCAGAAGGACGTGGGGTTAGTTTAATCTGGGACTTTCTTAGTTCCTTCCATAGCTCAGGTGGCATAGTGTTCCATTGTCTTGAAGCTTTCAACTCCCCTCTTCTGTACTTTCCTGCCGGTGCCACCGCTGACTGTAAATGGGGCAGCCCTTTGATCTTCCGCCTTCCTCCTGCAGAGAAGCAGCAGACACTTCCCACGACTTGTGCTGCGGCTCTTGAGTTAGAATGACACAGCTGAGGAGACGCAGACAAGGCCTTTCTTAACAAAGGAAATCTTAAATTGGCTTCAGCTGAATAATTGGCCTGAGACCACACACACCCCCCCCCAACCCCGTTCCACTTCACGAGCGCCACCTGGGACAGTACCGAGAAAACGTCACTTACAAGAAACAGCAGTGGTTTGGCCCAGGGGCCATAGTTTGCTAGCCTTTGACTTGGACTAGAGTGTGAGAATGGACGTCCAGCCAGCTCACCATAACCTCTGAGCCTCAGTTTCCTCATCTATAAAAATGCCCACTTTGAGCGTCCCAGGAGTTAACGCGTAACTAGAATACGTCCAGTCTTTCTTTAAAAGGGCTGTGGAAGCCCCGACAGCAGATGGGCGCGTGGTGCTGGGCTCAGGGCTAAACCTCAAGGGCCCCCCAGCGGCTGTCAAGGAGACCACCTCGGCCTCTGCATCCTGTCCCAGAGTCCAGCGTGTCTTTTCCCGTCAATCCCAAACCGCTGAAAGGAATTTTCCTTTCAGAACCCGAAACTCTTGAGGACCCAGCTGGGACCATTGTCATCTCTCCGACTTACTTCACCATCTAACGCACCTTTTAAGGTGTTCGCAGTCCATCAGAAGGGCCCCCGCCTGAACGTTCAAAACCGCCCCTGTGACCGAGGAGTGAAGTTTTTTGCCCCAGGAAAGTGCGCCTCAGCTGCGCTTGATCCCTGACCCGGGCATCACTGCCGCTCAAGCCAGGCCCTCGCCCTGCTGGCTGGTGGCCACCTTTTCCCACGGTTGCCAGCACCGCGTCATACAGCCTCTGGTGCAGCTGTGGCTTCTCCGCCTCTGCGCGGTGGGGCCTGGGAAGCCGCTGCGGCCGGGACCTGGCAGCTGTGCCGTCCCCTCCCCGCACCCTTTCTCCGACGAGGAATATGGGCTGAGCCTTCCGGGTTCAGGCACCAAGAGCCTCAGGCTGGGAACAGGGGCAAACCTTGCAGAAGCGTCTG